AAAATCGCATTAGAAAGCATGCAACAGCACTTGTTGCTTCTGGTCTGTTTGAGGAAGCAATTGACCCTACAGTTGCTTCACAGGTAATATAGTTGCTCCATTTCTACCTCTCTCTTATCCGCACACACTTGCAATCTTAAAAATGGAGAATTTACACTGTTTGGTGTGAGGAGTGGGAGAGAGCCTTTAAATGAGGGTAGTTTTGAAAGAAAATAAAAAATGGAAATTCAGGTACAACTAGAGCACTTCCCAAATTGTTATGGCATTTTTTTAATATGGTTTAGTTTTGATTTGAGTTTGTATGCTAATCAAACAACATATCTATGCTTCTCATGGAACCTATTATTTCAGAAAAGTGTATTTGCAGTTGGCATGATCTACTGTGAAGAAGAAGGCCGTTTGAAGGAGAAGCCTGTCTTGCTGCAAAGCAGGTAAAGACTATTGGTCTTGTCCTTTAGTTTCCCCCTAGGCGTTCATCAGGAATGTTGTGTTGCCTCATGCATTAATTGTGTAAGCTTTACAATTTTGATTCTCATCCCACATGAGGCTAAACATGGTACTATACATGAAGTTAACTTCTGAAATTTCATATCATGAAAAAACAACCTTAACTTCCCACTTTGAGCATGCAACCCATATTGGGATTTGGGCAGATAGTCTCATAGCTGTATTTATTACTTGAAATCCAAAGCCATTAGTTGGAATATGCTATGTCTAATATTAGGTTAAGTTTGGTAATATTTTTAAGCTCTTTGTACTAATATTGCATTTGTCCATGTCTTTGGAATCTTAAACAGATTATTGCAGCAGGTCCTTTTACCACAACTGACAACTTGTTCTTTGAATCTCTAACTGAGCTGCTAGCATATGCACAAAGAAAGCAGCCTCAGTTGCTTTTATTGGTAAGACCCACCATTTTTCATATCAATAATCTTGTACATTGTAATCTGCATTGATAAATGACTTGAGAAATTGGATTTTTTATGTTTGGCAGCTGGGACCATTTATTGATTCTGAACATCCAGAGATTAAGAAAGGAGCAGTAAACAGGACCTTTGATGAAATATTTCGTCTTGAAATCCTTGGAAGGGTATCTATCTATCTACACTAGATAATTTTGCCTGTTTGAGAAGATTTTATCTTTCTTTTTTTAATTTTTTTTTTCCCTCAATGGTTTGCAGCTTCAAGATTATGTGGAATATATGGGTTCTGCTGCACGTGTGATTCTCGTGCCATCTATACGGGACGCAAATCATGACTTTGTTTTCCCTTAGGTAATTTTATTGCTAAATTAATTTATATAGTATCTCTATTTTCCCAGTTAGTTAACAAAAAATTGAGATCATAATTAAGTGTTAATTTCTAGATTAATGTTGTTTGGCTTTGATTCTGCAGCCTGCTGTTGATATTCAACAAGCCGTCTCAAACATCAGGTATGCATGATTCTACTAGACTAGGGGAAGCCCACCTTTGAACTGGTTGCTAGATCCAGATCATTTTTCAGTTTGCACTCTCGCAAGTCACAATTTTAAAGAAATTACATTGTCTTACCAGATAACCAATCTTACAATCCGGGGATTTTCAATGCAAATGAGGTAATCACTAATTGCCTTTATTCTTAAATTATGATTGTTCGTACTTCTAGACATTAGTTTCATGTTTGTGTGTGCTCCTCCAAATTCTTCAAAATGCATTGATGAGATGAATTTTTTTTGCATTATATCAATCTCATGCACCACAAAAAAGCTTGAAACCGTACTTTTGGAGTAAAAACAAACTAATTAGCAGAATGCCCTAAACTTGAGATGAATGCAATTTGGAAGAGCAACATGGAATTAGAAAGAATCTAGTTAAGGTTCTCCCAAGGGAATATGTTTAATCTTATTATTTTAAATTCTAAAACAATGGTTTGAAGCATTTTGAGTTAAAACACATTGTACAAGTCTCTAATTAGTTTTCAATCACATTTTGGGTTTTCAGATCAAGGTAGGTTGCTGCACTGTGGATATTCTCAAACAACTTAGCGGAGAGGAGATCTCACGGAATCCATCTGGGGGATCCAAGCAGCGCATGAATAGACTTGCAAATCATCTACTTAGCCAGCATAGGCATGTTTTTATTATTCTCTTAATGGAAATTTCTGTATTTGATGTTTAAGAAGTTTAAACAATTGAAAAGACGGTTACTTTTTGAAAACAGCTTCTATCCTCTATACCCACCAATGGAAGATACTCACGTGGATTTTTCTCTCGCTCCAGAGGCTCTTCATATAGCGACCTCGGTCTTTTCTCATTTGATTATTGTATCCGGACTTAGGTTCCGTAGACTTTGTCATTGTATAATTGTTGTTGTTGTCCTTTATTTTCTCATTTGGAGTTATAGGATGTGTTGGGCAGGTTTGTTTCTGGTTGGTTGGGTTTAGAAATCCAGTGTTGCTGCCCAAAATTTTGATTCTTCGCTCGAGCGAGAAGTTCTTCGCTCGAGTGATCTCTTTGTTTTGGTCCTTCGCTCGAGCCAGGATAGCTTCGATCGAGCGAGGGTTGCGTTGTGAGTTAGACCTGAGAGCTGAGGTTTTTGGCTCGAGCGAGCTTTTCTTCGCTCGAGCGAGTTAGTTCGTTCTTCGCTCGAGCGGGAGTTCCTTCGCTCGAGCGTGTGTCTGGTTTCGGACCTGAGGGTTTGAGTTCTTTGCTCGATCGAGTTTTCTTTCGCTCGAGCGAGCTTTTTGGTTGTTGGCTCGAGCAAGGCTTCCTTGGTTCGAGCGTAGCTTTTCTGTGTCTGGTCGCTCGAGCGACCAAGTCTTCGCTCGAGCGAGCCTGTCAGGTTTAAATAGGCAGCAGCGTGTTTCAGATATGTTTTTCTTGCACTTTCTTATTCCAAAACCCTAGTTACGAGTTCTCTCTCCCTCTACACAGCTTCTCTCTTAGGATTGATCTACTTAGGGTGTGTTTCTACCCTAGATCCTTCATTAAAAAGATAGAGTGAGTCGAGGGCTTCCATTTAATCTGAATAGTTGGCGATTTGGAGCACTTTGGTATTTGGATATCATCTCTGTCTTCTCCATTTGGGTTGTTGTCTTCGAGGTAGGGATTTCCTACTCCATCTTATAAGTTTTGTTCTAAGTTTTAGTATTTTGATATGTTGGGGGCACTTTGGTAATTTTGGGGAAAACCCTAGTTGTATTAATTAATTAATTTGTATAATTAATTTAAGGGGATTGGGGAATTTGGTTAAATTCATGAAATTGGGAAATTTATTGCTTAAATGGTGTAGTTGGATAATGTAAATCACTCGCCCATTGAATTGTTGATATATTTATTTCCAGTCTAGAAATAACTGTTTTGGGCTATCGGTGGAGGATAGTCGTGATTGTTGTAGACATTGCATGTGGATTAGGAATAACTGAAACTAATCACATTGGTTAAGTCATAAATTTTGACTATTGCATTAATACAGAAAATACGTGTATTGATTGAGCATTGCATGTGCATACATTGTTTTGTGTGGGAGGAGATAGGGGATGTACTCCACGGTTTAGGGGAAGATAGGGGATGGACCTCTAAACCGGATTTTGTTTGGGAGGAGATAGGGGATGGACTCCATTAGCATCACTATTATGTGTGCTTATTAGATTGAAGTGTTTTTACATGTTATTGATACAGCACTAAAATGTGTATCAAACGAGAAGTATGAAGTGTTTTGATATGAGCCTGAGTCTCATATTCTGTTTGCAAACCAGTTTTCTTTCTTATCTAGCTTAGAGCAGATTGGATTGCATGAATGAAATTTAACTCTTCATCTCCTATGCAGACAAGTGTTGTCAATTGGGGATAAAAATGACGGAGAAGAGCAAGCGAACTGCATTTGTGTTAATCCGGGAAGACTGGCTAGGGGCGAAGGAGCGGGTTTCTTCGTGGAGCTTAACTACGGGGGAAGCCCTGATTCAGCTAGTGCTTCAGTTATAAGCATATAGACCTTAAACTACCGCGTGTAGTGATTCAACAAGTGCTTCAAAAAAAAAGTAAACCCTAAACTTATAGAGCTTGCAGTTGCAGATGATATCAGTTTGTTTGGAAACAAACTAGAGACCTATCATAGTGGACACCAAATTCTAATGGAGGAGCTTAGCACCATGAAGACTGTTTAGGGAGTGCTGTCATGTAGTACTAGTTTCACATCACAATTAAGGTGATGTTACTAACATGATGTTCTATTAATGTATTATTATTGTCTTTTCAAGATGGCAATGATTTCGCTCTTTACCAACCAAAAAAAGAAGGGAAAAGGAAAAGATAAAAAAAGTCGTTTTTGGTTTTGTTTTTGTTTTGTTTTATTTTTGCTTTTCATGTTTTAAGAAATACAAGCAATGAAAAGTTTGACAATCATTTTTATTTTGCACGAAAATAATTGTTATTTTTGAAAAGGCAAATGCTAATGAATGTCTTTGTGGCAAATTGTCTTGGAAATAGTTAAAAAATGTTTAAAAAATAATATTTTGAATTCAGCTAAATAAAAAAAGTGTTTTGATTTCAATAAGCCTCTTATTCCTTGTGTCTCATTAACACTTGTTTAGAATTATTTTTTCAAAAAATAGGTGTTTACAGAAAAAAAATAAAAAATAAAATAAAATAAAATCCTTAAAACTAATTTTCAGGAATAGTTTGCCTAACAAATTTTTTTGTTTTTGTTTTTTTTTTTTTCTAAACTAATTATAAATAAAAACATGAAATCATAATCAAATTTGGCAGTTGTAATCTAGGTCATTATTGAGGAAGGGGTGTTTTATTTTAATTTAATTGGTGGTTAAATTTGTGGTTAGTTTAGTTGCTCCACCATCCGCCTTCCAATCCAAAAATAGGGAATATGCCGAAGAATATGATTTGTATTACAAAGCTCTTATGAAAATACATCTCTATAAAAATTATCGTATCGTTTAAAAAATTTATATTAATTGTGTGCTTAATGAATAGTAAAAATTAAATGAATATATGACCTTAAAAATAAAAAATAATAATGAATAAATTATAAAAGATCATTGGATAGACATTAGACACATAAATATTCCTAATTTATTAGATAATTTCTACTACATAGTGGGTCTACCAATCAAATCCTCTCTGCATATTCCAAAGCTGTCATCCTTCATACACAACCACTAGCCTTTCGTCAATTTTATTTTTTTAATAAATTGAATGCTTTTAACACTGTTATCTTTCTTTTCTTTTCCTTATTTCTTTTTTTCACAATTAATTAGTACCGTATCATTATTTATGATGAACATTAATTATTTTGAGTTATTTTATGAAAAAAAATAAATTATAATGTGAGAAAACATCTATATTATCTTTTCAAAGAGGAAGAGATAGGAACTTAAAACTCTATTATGCCTTCGTTTGGCAACTTGGGTTGGGTTGGTGATTATTTTAGTCACTAAAAGATAAAATATGTTTTTTTATCTAATAAGACAAAACATCACATCCAATACATAATCATTATATTCTCTTTCACAAAAATTAAAAAAATCAAAAAGTCTATCTCAAATGAGGTTTTTTAGTCCCAAATTAAAATAATCAAGAAGTTAAAAAGTCAAAAAATCAACCCACTTCCCAAACAAACCCTTTAAGTGATTATTTGATAGTCTTGGAGTACTATTACATACTATTTATCACTTAAAACTTGTTAAATTGTTTTCCAAAATTCAAACAAAAAGTATTGGGTTTCACTACTTTAACCGATAACAATCAAGTAGAGGCACCAAGTAAATTTGCTCCAAGTCCACCATATAATTTTGAGATTTTTACCAGCTAATTCCAATAATTGAATCTATTACTCATTAGGTCTTAAGTTTCTATTTCATACGCTAAGAAATCCTGTTATATTTTTTTATCTCGATTTTGCCTTGCTACCAACTAGTAAAAATCCCTATTTAAATCATCCCAAACACTCTCTAAATCTTTAATTGTTTATAATATTTATTACCCATTAATTTTTTCAATTTGTATTAATTTCTCTCTTGATCATTTTTCCAAGACTCTTTTTCTTTCTCATCTCTCTCTCTCTCTCTCGAAGATACCACCATTGTAGTTATGGCCATGGCCATCCATCCACAACCGCCATCGTCATCCGTCACTAACCACCGCCACCTCCACGGGTCACTACCACCACCTTCACCAGCCACTACCACTACCATTGTTCATCAACCATCTCCACCGTCGCCGATCTATACTTCACCATCTCTCAATCGTTTGACTTG